GACCCCGGGAACGGGATAGCGGGATCTCTCGGGTACTGGTTACCGGCACGGCCCCGGGGCCGGTACCGGGCCCCTCGGATGTGTCTGAGGGGAATGTGTTACTATGAGCATTTTCTGCCTCTGCCCGGCAAAGCTGCAGCTGTGGGGAAGCTGCAGGAGAGGCCAGCAGTGGCCATAGGCAGCGGGATGGCCAGGGCCCTGTGGGGCCCAGGTTGGGGTCTCCTGGTGCATAACCCACCTTTCAAACAGGCTCGCCAGAGGCGTGCAGAACTAGGCTGTGTGATGGCTTGTGGGTGTAGGAGAAGTTGTCTCATCACTTTGTTTCTCCCTCCTGTCAGTTTTTAGAGTGGTTTTGCTCCGGGCCCTGTGTCTTCTCCAGGCTATCATCAATGAGCCGTCCTTAGGATGTTTAGAGATGCTGAGCTGTGCTGCTTCTCCCCTCACAAACCATCCATGGTTTTGTGTTTCTGCAAAATACTTGTTGAGGCCTCTGACACCAAGGCTACAACCTGTATTTGGTTGCTTGTGCATGAGCCTTAGCTGAAGTTTTTGTGGTTTCAGGAGGAACTAAAACCTTCACAGCAGTTCAGACAGCAGTGATGTTTGACCTGAGTGGGCTTGTCTGAGCATTTACAAGTTGTGGGATGGGGGACAGGAATCACAGACCAGTCCTGTTGCCCATCAGTGGGTTCCCATGTAGCTCTGTGAAGAGCTGGGATGCCTCACACTGCCTGTGTGTGTGTGCGTCTGTGTTTTGCACAAATATTCATGACTTTGAAAAAGGATCAACAGCTTATTTGGATGGTGCAAGGACGGGACGCATTAAAGACTCTTAGACTGGGGATGTAGTATGCTGTCAGACTGGATAAGCCATAAGCAGGATGTGCTGACCCTGCTTGGAGGTTGAGGTTGGAGTGGAGAGTTCTGGAGGAACCTTCCCATGTGAATTGTTCTGTGCAGGGCAATGCTGTTATGATTGTGTGGCCCATGAGGGGAGCAGGAGCTCTGCTTGCAGGGTGGATGTCAGCAATGGTCCTTTCAGCTGCAGTAGTCTTGCAATAGTCTCTATTGCATGAAGCATGGCCAGCCTGGGTGTGCTTGTTGTGAGGATTGCCATGCTTTCTTCAGCAGTGCATGAAATGCCCCTGTCATCTTGGTGAGAACTGGAAGCAGTATTTGACATTCTCGCATGTCCTGGGTGCGTGTCTGAGATTACTGGGTTCATAGCTGTCCTAATGTAGACTTTCGTATCTTTGCAAAGAGAACCAGCAGGCTGTGATTTCTACTTTTTTTTGGATCTCAGGGAATATCTCAAGCTTTTGTGACGTGGGGAAAACCCATATATTTTTTGGCCTTAGTAGGATGTGCACTGCTTGTGCTGGTGGAGAGAGTGTGTGTGTGGGTGTGCCTGAGTGTGTGAGTGCCCAGAGGCAGTCAGCCATGCCCAGCAGTACAAACCAAATTCCCTTGGTGACCAGTGGCTGGCTGGTTGCTCCCCTGTATTGCTTGTCCTTGTTTTTACCCCTTATAGCACTCAAGTTTGACTCTTACTCTTTTGTGTTTGTTTATTTGGGCCTCTGATACGAGGCTCAGTGCAGCATATTTTGATAGATGGAAGTCCTGTACTCCGTGTACGTGCAGCATACTGGGAGTGGAGTTTATGCTAGGCCATAAACTCTTGCTGGCACTCTGGGGCAGTGATCAAAGCCTTGGACACAGCAAGGTCCAGGAGAGCAGGAGCCAAGTGAATGTAGATGGGTCCTCCTGGGGTCTTACCCCTTGTCTCAATGGAGCTGTGTGTGCCTCTTTTTCCCCTCTCAAGTGATGTCTGTGCTGTGTGCCCCACTTCTGTTCCAGGTGCGCAATGGCCACATCAAGCGAATCACGGACAATGACATTCAGTCACTGGTGCTGGAGATTGAGGGAACAAATGTCAGGTAGGAGAAGCCTCTTCTGCTGCTCTGGGGGAGCAGAACTCTGTCCTGGAGCAGAGTGAAAGATGGCAGTGCCCAGCAGGCATCAGCTTCAAACTACAGCAATGTGATGGCAATGTCTTTGTCAATAAATGGAAGAATCTGGGTCATGTCACTGATACTCCCCTGTAGCAGTGTGCTGTGCCTTTCCCTGGATGTGCTTGTAGAGCTCTCATTCTTATCCTCACTGGGGCTAAGGGATAAAAAATAAAATCCCGTTATTCTTCCATCACTTGAAGGGAAAAAAAGCAGTTTTTAATACCCAGCCTTAGTCAGCACTGCCAGTTACTGAAAAAGCAGCACTGTCTGCTGTCTCTTCTATTGTCTTGGGCCTGTTCTCCTCACGTGACAGCTGCTCTCCCTACAGCAGGAAGATCAGAGGGAGATTTATGAGAGGAGTTGCTTGTGGAGCTTCTCTTAGCAACCTCGTCTCCATCGCCCCGGGAGACAGACGCCAGCTCCAGCTCCATGAGCGGGCTCAGAGTCTCCAAGGCTTCTCCAGGGGTGATTCAGAGCAGGGCTCTCCTTATAAGGGCAGTGGAGACTCCTCTCCTGCAGACAGACTGAGCCAATGCTTCTCTTCCTCCAAGAAGTGTTGATACAAAACTTGCCAGGCGTGACGTGTACTCCTAGGGCTCACAACCTCTGTTTTGCCAGCCGTGTAGAGCACACAGGGCCTCTGCCATGATCTGGAGGGCTTTCCCTATTCAGTCAAGGGTAGGAGGAGGTTGTGTTAATGAACAGCACTGACATGGCCTTGATACTGAGGAGGTGAAGCTGTCCAGGAAGGTGTTTCATGCCCTGGGTGAGAAAAGTGCAATTTGAGATATATTCTTTGTGCTTTTTATCTTTTTCTGCCTGCAGCTACCTCTGAAGCTCCCCTTCCTGTTAGAGGAAGCCCTGGTTGTTGCTGAGATCTTATGATCACAGTTACCTATTTCTGCCTGTCCTCCAAGGCTGCACTGGGCCAAGGGAGAGACTTGGGTTACCTCAGACTGTGCACTTTGTGCCCTGTGAGATCCTAAAGTGTTTTTCTCTCACCTCTCAGTACCACGTACATCACGTGCCCTGCTGACCCAAAGAAGACCCTGGGCATCAAACTACCTTTCCTAGTGATGATCATCAAGAACCTGAAAAAATACTTCACTTTCGAAGTGCAGGTGAGGAGTGTGCAGTGGGGAGGCCCCTCCAGGGACCACTGAGGAAGGCGCCAGAGAGCCTGCAGTCTTGTGTTGGAACTTGTCCCAGGCAGTGAGTGATCCCCAAAACAGTTTTGCTTTCTTGGCCATGTGGTGTGTCAGGTCTTCTGGTATGGGGGCATCAGTCAGCTGACAAACACATTGTTGCTATTCCTGAAAATGGGTCTGTTTCCTGTGTTAAATTCCTTCTGCTGTGGAACGGAGGGGTGGGAGTAGAGAGCCCTCCTGGAGTCGGGTGGTGCTGTCCTGGGGAGCCTGGCACTGGGGTGAGCAGCCTGCCCTCCTTGCCAGGTGCTGGATGACAAGAACGTCCGCCGGCGCTTCCGGGCGAGCAACTACCAGAGCACGACGCGGGTGAAGCCGTTCATCTGCACCATGCCCATGCGGCTGGACGACGGCTGGAACCAGATCCAGTTCAACCTGTCCGACTTCACGCGCCGCGCCTACGGCACCAACTACATCGAGACCCTGAGAGTGCAGGTGAGGAGCTGCCCTGGGAAACCAAGGGCTGGTCACCTTCCTGCTGCCTGGCACAGCAGCATGGGAATCTGCCTTTAGCCCTCTGGGGTTCCTTTCCTAGCCCTGCTCTTTGCAGAGCACCATGGAAGGTGAGCAAGGCCTGACTGAGGCCTCACCTAGGCTGGGATAAAGGAGCCTGTTTCCCTCTGTTTCTCTGGCTGTCTCTTGGTTAGGGTGAGAGTTGCAGTTCCCTGTGGCATGCCATGAGAGCTGTGTATTGCCTTTCTGTCCAGCCAGGCTGGACAGTGATTGACTGAATGGAACCTGGATGGGACAGCCCCATGGTGTACAGACCATTCATAGCCCCGGTCAAGCTTGTTTCCTACTGGTGGTGGAGTTACCCTGCTTTCACTGAGCCCCTTGTAACAGAGCTGATGCAGGGTTTGTTCCTGCTGAGGACATGGAGCTTGTTCCATATGCTTGGGAGTCATGTTCAGTGGTGTGTGTTATTTTGAGGAATGCTGTGTGTGGAGCGTGCCTGTTCCTTGGTGTGAGGGGAGTGTTGCATTTCCTTGCAGGATTGCCCTGAGGTGCAGGCAGTCAGCTGAGAGCTGTCTGCCTTCTCACATACTCACGAGGGGGACCAGAGCAACTACTTTGCTGCCAGCTGATAGTGCAGGCAGCACAGGCTGGGCAGGCTCATTCCTGACCTCAGGGAGGCCCTGAAGTGGGCGTGTTAAAAATGCAGCAGGGCTGAGGCTGTGGGTGTTCTGGCAAGTGCTGATACCAGCAAAGCAGAGGTGGGTTCACAGCAGAGAATCTCCTTAGCAACTAAGTAAGCAGAGATACCAGAGCTTGGCCAAATCTTTTGAGTGTTCATACCTGGAGACAGGGATACAAATGCAAAGCAGAGGGCACAAACCAACATTTTGCTGATGCCCTGTCAGATTCAAAAAAGCAAGACAGTGAGATAGATTTCCAGCTGCTGAGCCAAAGAATCCATGTTGCAGCATGACACCAAAGCTGGATGTGGAAAGAGCATGTGGAAAATGGCCTGACTCTTTGTTTTGACTCCCAGATCCACGCCAACTGTCGCATCCGACGAGTGTATTTCTCTGACCGGCTGTACTCAGAGGATGAGCTCCCAGCCGAGTTCAAGCTGTATCTGCCTGTCCAGAACAAGGCCAAGGTGAGCTAGATGTGGGAAGGAGGGTGGGAGAGCAGTGAGCCAGACTAGCATTCCTCTGCCTCCTCCTGCTGCCTTCGCAACCCGGTGTTTCTTGTGGCAGCAGAGCTCTTGCCAGCTTTGGCCGCCGGCCAGGGAGCACCCTCTCTGTTGCCAGGGTGAGCAGTCTGTCTGGGGTGCTTTGTTCTGTAGCTTTCCTGCCAAAACACATGGAAATTGTCATTCCCATCTAGGAGCAGGGTGAGCTGTTCAGCTGCTCTCCATGTCCTCCCTGATTGTGTTGAAGGACTCTGGGCAGTTGCAGCCTCCCGGCATCTCTCCAGAGCTTTCATCCATGACTCAGCTCAGCAACTTTGCTCTTCAGAGCAGCTGCAGCTCCACTTTTGTCTTCCAGGAGAGATTCTGTTTGTGTCCCTCTAGCCCAAAATGAGTCCACTCCGATCTTTTCCCCGCCCAGTACCAGACAGTGGTGCCATGAGGGGGGAAGGAGACACCATAGCTGCCCTCAGGAGGAGATGCCAAGCTCTGCTCCTGCAGTGCTGGGAGAGGAGTGAACATGCTGGCATATTGAGAGATCTTGAGCAACATGCAGCAGTTTTGAGGCTTGTGAGGAAGCACCTTCTTTGCCAGGGCCAGCCTGTCCCAATGCAGACACTTCTTTTAGCAAAGAAGATTCCTTGGCAAAGTTATAAGCTGCTGAGGGAGGACATTGGGGGTTGATGGAAGTGGGAGGTAGAAGGCAGTGTTAACTGTAGGTGACATCTCTGGGGAACCTGTCACTGCCTTCTGGGCTGTAGCAGCCTCACACACGTGTCTGGGGAGTGCTTGGAGCCCTCCCAGTACTGTTGTCTTGTGCTGCCAAGTCTTGTAAGTGTCTCCTTTCTTCTCCCTGCTCTGTCCAGCAATAACATCACGTTGGGAAGAGATGTTGGCCTGCAAATTGTACAGAGTCAGAGTTTTCCTGGCTGTTCCTAAAGTGCTGAGCCTAAACTCTGCAGGTGGCCTGGTACCCAGTCTTGTCTTGCTCAAAGTGGCCACTGTGCCTCCAAAGAAGGGATTCAGCAGGAATTGTGGAGTTAAGTGTATCCTCTTGAAGTTAGCAGTTTTATTTTTTATTTCCTTGTTTCCATCTCTTATACATGCTCTAAATATGGATGTAATACTTGTTCTTGAAAAGTTATTAAACATTTGGCTCTGTAAATCTGCTTTTGTCTTCTTTCTCCTTTATGGATCCGTAACTTTTTAGTGCTTCACAAAGTGCCAGAGAATTTCTTTGAGAACCCAGATGTTAGAATTTGCCTCTGAACTTGACTTTGATCAGCACCCTCACTGTTTAAGGAATAGCACAGACACAACCAGAGACGAAAGTTAGTGAGGTTTCCACAGAGAATACAGAAACTGTCTCCAGTCCATGAAGTTTGTGGTACTATGACAAAAACTCATGCTGTTCATTAAAATGGGTTTTTCATTCCCTTTCTCCTTGAAGCCATTTTCCCCAGCAGTAACAAATTAGGCTTACCTGCCTGTTGGGGCACAGTTTTGTTGGCTGTGTGGTTACCAGCTCAGTCCAGCTCTCAGGCAGGCCCTCAGCAGCACGAGGCACACAATAGCCCTCCAGCTGCCAGATTGTCCCTTCCCCAGGGATCAAAGGGGAGGTTCAGCACAACAGGAGCGGAAGTCTTTTCCTGTGCTGAAGCTGCCCTTCCCTGCCTCAGACCAATCTGCCTTTGTTGTGGAGAGCTTGTGAAGGGGAGGCAGAGACTCCATCAGTAAGGGGGTGAGGCTGGGAGTAGATGATGCCTTTCCTGCCTGGGGCCAAGCCCCCATCAGTACTGTGGAGGGCAGGTCCCCAAGGCTGGCACTGATCCTTCCCTGGCTGTGCAGTGAGTGGGGAAGACTTCACTTCTGTTACTGCTCTGTAGAACAAAGCTGCTCTCTCCCAGGAAGAGGAGAGCCTGCTGGGGGACGTCTGCCTTAGATCCTGGGTTTAATCCTGACCACTGAGACCCTGCCTGGTTTAAAGGTTTGGCGTGTCTGTGCACCCTCTCTCTGCACCTCTGTGGCCTCTCTGGACACCTGTAATGGAGCTGCTGGGCTTTGAGCTGGAGGTGCTGCCACGTGGGGCTGGATTGCACCTGCAGAAGGCTTTCTGGAGAAGACCTTTGCAGTTCTTCTAGCAGCTCAACAGCTTGGTAGCTCTAAGGAGCCTGGCCAAGGAAGCCTACATGAGAAAGCACCATCCATCTTGCATTGACATGTCAAGGCTTGGCTGCACTCGATCTGTTCAGTGGATTCGCACTGGATATCATGCCAAGGGTTGGCCTTAATGAGGTCCATGGTGAGGCTTTCTCCATGTTTGCAATGCTTGCCAGAGCTGGGGGAGCTGCTGAGCAGATCCATCAGACCCCAGGAGGGTAAAATGTGCATCCTTTCCCGCAAGGCCTTGCTCAACACCATGTGTTTCTGGCAGTCTTTGGCAGCTGAACACTCAGCAGGAGCTGCTGCTGCCTTTCCCTGCCCTGCTGGGGCCTGTGCTGGAGTTTCCCCTGGTCCTGGAGCAGCTGAGCTCACCCTGAGTGACCAGCCCTAATGCACTGAGTGGGGCTGGGCTCCCCTGGGCCCCGAGCTGGCTGCCTCTGCAGAGATCAGATGGGCCCTGCTGCCAATTCCTGCCCGACCTCTAGGAGCTGTGCCAGCAGATTTGCTGGAATAAACTCCCAGCCACAAACCCTTACATCCATATGGACCTTCTGTGTATTTTTAAATACGAAACAAAATACTGAATCTTCCTGTTTACTTGCTGCACAAAGTGGAGCATCATTGGATGCTGGCTCTTTCCTTTACAGCCAGATGCTTGGTGATTTACACAGTGCTTCCAAAATCTTTCTCTTCTAATCCCTCTCTCCCATCAAAACTTTAACCATCTTGCTGAAGGTGGGTGAAGTTGGATGCTCTTCCTGTGGGAGAAGAGGATGCTGCTGGTGGATGGGCCAGAATGTCAGAGGCATCCTGTCAGCAGCCCTTTCCTAAATGTGCACAAGCAAAACTCCTGTGATGAAGCACTCAGCTTCTTACTCCTTTGGTTATGGCTTTTCATGTGGCTGGGATGCAATGTCCTCCTACATGGGAAGAGTGGAGGAATGCAGGAAGGAGGTGAGGGGAGAGGTGGAGTCAGGGATGGCTCCTGCCTGCCTGCTCCTGGGTATGAGGGGTGGGCAGAGGGGAGTCCCAGTTCAATGCAGGCAGCCTGTGGAGAAAAGATCTTAAATATCTCCTAGTTCACCTTTCTGTGGGTGGCCTGCTCCTTCCTTCCTGCATAAGTCCTTGTTGCAGTTCATGTTTAGTGGGAGAGAAAAGAATCTTTGTGGGGAGCCCTAGTTTCAACCCCAGGCAGAGCAGGGCCCACCCAAAGATCAGTTGTCCTTCTCTGCACCAGCTTTTCACCTTTGTCTTCCACTGGCACTTGGACACTTCACTTGGGACCTCAGTGCTGGAAGCTGCTTTCTACATGAAAGGCAAAGCTTCCCTTGGAGAGCTTGGCTGCTGAAATATGGTGAGTGCACAGGCTGCAGCTCCTTGGAGCAAGGGACCCACCCTGGGCTGGGCCAGCAGCAGCAGGCTGGGGCTGGAGCAGCTGGCAGTGCCTGTGCTGGGAGCCGAGGCCGGGACATCCCACGGCTCCAGTGGCTCTGCCTGGGCAGGTGGCAGCTGCTGGCAGAGCAAGCAGGCAATGGGGTTTTTTCCTGGAAAGCTTTCTCAGTTTGCTCTGCTGCTGGGGCAGAAGAATCCTGTGTGAGTGTCCAGCCCAGCAGACACTGCCTGGCAGGACATTGATACAAGCTGCTGTCCCTGCCTGTGTTTGTCCCCTTGCACTTTGTCACTTTCCTATCAAGTGGGTCCTGGCAAAGCACAGAGCTGTTATGACAGAGGGATAAACAGGAATCAAAAAAATCTGGGCCAAACTCTGCTTCTTGTCCATTCTGCATCGCCCTGGATGTCTTGGGCCAAATGTTGTCATCTTTATAGAAGGATTACACCTCGAGGACAACGTTAATCCTCTGCAGCTGTTGTCTAATGTGGGGCAGGAGGCAGTGCTGGAGGCAAGGGAAATATTTATTTTGAGTTTTACCACTGGCCACCGCCCAGGAAAACCAAGTGACGGTTCTGGGGACTTTGGCCACTGTGCATGCACAGAGAGCTGATGTTCCTGCCCTGCCGGTGCCTGCAGGAGAGGGCTGAGAGCTTCCCTTGGCAGGCTGCAAAATGGGACCACCCAAACGCGACTTATTTGGGTGAGGGAGGAATTGTGCACCTTGAGAGCTAACCTGGGATGCAGTGGGGAAAGCCTCAGAGCTGCTAGAGGTGAGATTATGATGGAAGCCAAGTTGTGAAGCAGAACTGCAGCCCATCTGCTTCACCATCCCTTCACGTGTTGCCCCTGCGGGCCCAGGAATGATTTTCTGTGAGATGAGAGGTCCCAGCACCCCGGGAGCAGGCTGGGGGCTGCCCGGTGGGTTTGAGGGGAGGACAGGCATGAGCCACACACACCTGAGCGAGCTCAGCGTGCTCGGTGGGTGCATCCCACCCTCGGCAGGGCTGTGCTGGCACCGAGCCCTCCCCGGAGCCTCCGCCCTGCGTTCAGCGAGCACGGGCAGCAGGTTCAGCCCCTCCCGGGCCCCGCGGCCCTTCCCTCCATCCCCAGCATTGTTTCCTCCGACCTTGAGCTGCCCGCTCGCTCCTGCTGTATCCCAGCCCCGCTTCTTCCTCTGCACTGAGCCCGGCTTCCTCTGTGTTTTCCGGGTCCTTTCCTCAGCGCTGAACAGGGATCGTGCCCTGGCTCGCAGAGGAGGAGGAGGATTCTCCTGAGATGCTGCCAGAAGGGCAGAGAGCCCCTGCCAGCCCTGGTGTCCCCCTCACACCCACCCCAGCACAGCAGGGCCTGGAGGACGCTGAGCTCCCAGGGTCTTTTCCAGGTCAGGCTCTCCAACCTATTTTTGGGAAGCAGGGAGCTGCCAGGCTCCCTGGGAGTGGATCCTGCCGGGGCCAGGCTCAGCCAGGCTCGCACTCCCCATGCTCCCAACAGCCCTGTCCTTGGAGCAGGTGCCTGCTGCCCTCCTGGCCTCACACCCACGGCTGGCCAGAGGTGAGCTGACCCCGCTGTGGGCGTGCAGGGGCCTCCAGCAGAGCCTGGGCGCCGCTGAAACGCCGGGCTTTGTCTCCAGCAGGTCCCTCACTGCTATCCATGAGCGTTTCCAGATGGCCCCGGGCTCCTGGCACCAGCTCTGCTGCAGCATCCGGGGAAGAGCGGGAGGGGGTGGGAAGTGGTGTCCCAGCTCACCAAGCGTGGTGGCCTGGGCCTCTGCTCCCAGCATCCCGAATTCCCGCTGGGGAATCGTTCCCAGCTCCTGTCCCACCCTCCATCAGCGAGGAGGCTCCTCCCCTGCCATGGAAGGGATGCCATAAGCAGCTGGCCCTGGGCACTGTTGTCCAGCTCTGCCTTTCCCTGCAAGCCAGGCGTCTTTCCAGGTACCAGGCTTTGGGGTCCCAGCCCTGCACCCCATCGAGCCCTCTGTACCCCCAAGAGAGAAGGGAGAGGCTGCTGCCGTGGGAAATACAGCTGGTGTCGGAAATGCATCTGCCACGGAAGTGCATCCCGTGTGGGAAATGCATCTGCCGTGGGAAATGCATCTGCACTGGCCTCTGGAGCAGGCTCTGCAGGGGTGGGGAGAGTGAATCCCAGCCGTGCTTTCCTCCTGCCTCGCCTTTTGGCCAGGTTCGTGGCTTTTGGCAGCTCCTGGTGCCTGTCTGGCCCCGGTTCAGCACAGGCTGCAGTGTCAGGCTGCCCCATGGCAGGGCTCCCAGCTCAGCAGAGCTGTGGGTCCTCCCTCAGCTCTGGGGAAGACCCACACGAGCACAAATCTGAGCAAAATGGTCAAAACCGAACTGAAAGAAGTTAAAACGCCAAGGAATGTGACCCAGCAAGGCTTGGCTGATGGAATACAACAGCCCTGAGCCACTTGGAGATCTTTTTCCACCCACTCCCCCCAATTCCTCAGGGGTTTTCTGTTCCTGATTTTGACTTCTCACTTGGCTGCAGCGACGTGCTGAGCCCGAGCCAGACGTGTTTTCCAGGGAATCAGCTCATGGCTGGAAATCACTGCCCAGTGAGGGCAGGGATGGAGGCTGGGGCAGGGGATGAGTGACT